ACAGGTGACAAAAAGTTTTAGCTGAAATTGCATTTATTATTGGATTGAATAAAATGGCTTGATGATTTCATTCTAAATTATAACCAGATTCTGGATCTTAAGAAAAAACAAGAGAATCAGGTTCAGCTTTTAAAGCAGAAACAGAAAAGTGATGAAGCAGCAAAACGACTGCAGGATGAAATTCAATTCATAAAGGCACAAAAGGTTAATTCTTATTATGGTCCTTAATATGTTTCATTGTTTAAGGTATCTGTCATATCATTTATATTGTATGCACTGCTAAATCTTCCACGTCAACTACCCCTGCCCTCTTTTCTTTTCTTCCCTTGATTCGGAGGTTGTAGGTTCAATTGCAACATAGGATAAAACAAGAGGCAGAACAATTCCGTCAGTGGAAAGCCTCTAGAGAAAAGGAACTGTTGCAGGTGCCGTGCTTCTTTTCTTTCTATCAAAATTAAACAATTTATAATAACATGCCAGATGCTCTGGCATTACATTGTGATGTTACATGAGAAGAAAGATAATCACTTACTACAGAATTGACATCTTGGATTGTCACTTGTATTTGCATCTATTATTTGTATTACATACTTACCTGTGTTAATAATATGCATGCTCAAGCAGTTACGGAAGGAAGGCAGGAGAAATGAGTATGAAAGGCATAAGCTTCAAGCGTTAAATCAACGGCAGAAATTGGTAAGCATATTTTGTTTCTTGTGAAGGAGATGAGTGCCTACCACTGATTTGTTTGTAGAGAAAATAATTTTCAGCTATTCTTGCTTGCAGGTTCTCCAAAGAAAAACAGAGGAGGCGGCCATGGCCACCAAGAGGCTAAAAGAGTTGCTCGAAGCTCGTAAATCATCTGCCCGTGATAACTCAGGTTGGCTTTTCCATTTAAGGTTGCTGTCCTGGACTATCCATGTTTTGGATAAAATAATGCTCTTCATATAGGCATAGACGATTCAACTATATAGAGTGGCTTCTAGATTGTACTTGGAATGCTTTATGCTAGAGGTCTAGATTGAAGGAGATAAAGTACTCATGCCCTGGGTCCTTTCATTTGTGATAATTTCTAATGTTTTGGTATCTTCCAGCTATTGCCAATGGGAATGGAACAAATGGGCAGGTAATGATCTCTGTTTCTCTTGTGTTTTTTTTTTTCTCTTTTTTTTGGGGTTAATTTCAACATTCACTTGTTAAAAACCAACCAACTTAAGTTCCTTCTGTAGAACAATGAGAAAGCTTTACAACGTTGGCTAGATCATGAGCTAGAAGTCATGGTGAATGTGCATGAAGTTCGCTTTGAATATGAGAAGCAAAGCCAAGTGTATGTAGTAAAATCTTATTTATATAATAAAACTGATGCGGGATATATAAACTATTCTTATATCACTTTTACTTATTATGTACAATCTCCAGGAGAGCTGCACTTGCAGAAGAGTTGGCTGTCTTGAGGCAAGTAGATGAGTTTGCTTCAAAAGGGCTCAGCCCTCCAAGAGGAAAGAATGGATTTGCCAGGTATCAATTATCCAAAGACATTTACTTTATTACTGGCAACTTTTTCCTTCTCTTACCCTTCCATGGTATGGGTTCTTTGGTGTGGAATCAGTGAACAATATCGCAGAAAGCAACCTTAGCAAATAACCAACATTCATATACATCTTATAGCTTTTTCCTTTCATAAATTTGTGGGTCATCCATGGTTGGACCTAACATGAGTTTGCAGAGATTAGTTAAATGTGGCTTTAGATATGATACTTTCTCCTATGCAGAACTGATCCAACCTCTTTTAACGTTCCTTGATTTATTTTATTGCTCTGCAGGGCATCCTCCATGTCACCAAATGCAAGAGTGGCTAGAATATCTTCACTTGAGAATATGCTCAGCATATCATCTAATTCACTTGTTGCAATGGCGTCACAACTTTCAGAGGCGGAAGAGCGGGAACGTGCCTTCACTAACCGTGGACGTTGGAATCAGTTGCGCTCCATGGGAGATGCAAAGAACTTGCTTCAATATATGTTCAATTCTCTTGGAGATGCAAGGTGCTTTCTCTCACCTAGTTATATATGTACATATACAGGAAGTATGTATGTCAAATATAATAGCCTAGTCCCTGGAATTTGACAAGGAAAAGAAAGAACAAATAAATTATGGTTCGAAAGAGTATCTTATGTGGTGCTTATATGTTGTCAACAGGTGCCAATTATGGGAAAAAGACATGGAAATCAAGGAAATGAAAGAACAACTTAAAGAACTTGTAAGTCTGTTGCGCCAGAGTGAGCTACGAAGAAAAGAAGTTGAGAATGAGCTAAAATTAAGAGAGCAAGCTGTTGCTATTGCATTGGCTACATCAGCTACGGTAAGTTTTTATATAAACTTTATTCAGGTTTTGAACATCTGAGGCTTGTATTTAGGTTTTCATCTGAGGCATAGTGTAACAGTCTATAATTAAGAGCATTCAACTAATCAACTAATGATTCTAAAGCTGTTTTCATATCAACACACAGCTAAAGCTGTACTTTGGTACATATATAACATCCAGAAGAGTTTCAGTTAGATTGCTTTTGGTCAAATGACTTCTAACTTCTAGGCATGCTGCATAACTACATGCTTACACATACTTATCTTGAATTGTTTTTTGGAGATCTTTAATAGCTCAAAAGAACGAAGCTGATACCATATTTTGGATAAACTCCAAACTGTAATTTTATGAGAGAATAAAATTTTCTCAAACACACAACAAAAATGCAACCTGACCAAAACCACATTCGGTATGGACTTAGAGAATGTCAAACCCCTTTTGTCTTTTCATCTTAAAGTCCCTTATAGCTGAACCATAGAGAACCGTCTGACTGTTTGCTTGATTAGCAAAATTCCCTCTTCAAATATTTTCCTCAAAGTGGTGATCCTACTTACCTTGGTTACAATTAAATTCACATTGCTTATCCATCATAAAATCCTAAACCTCCGTTCACCTGAACAAAAAGTCCTTCAACCTGTATTGCATCAAGGCATCCCTAGAAAAGAATTCAAACTAAAGTAGGATTTTCTTTTTCAGTACAATAAATTGAAATTTTTAAGGCCATTTGTACAGGATCATCTACTTGTTGCCACTGTTATATGTTTTTTGTCTTCAAATGAATCGGCTGTGTCAACTTATCACTACTCCTAGCACCGCTTTTTAACTAAACTGTTCACGAGCAGGGTAACTCACCAAATTCATTGAAACACGTAGCTGATGACATGCATGGCTCATTGTCTCCAATGTCTGTGCCAGCACAGAAACAGCTGAAGTATAGCCCAGGTATTGTTAATGGTCCAATCAGAGAATCAGCAGCATTCTTAGATCAAACACGAAAGGTAACTTCATTCTCCAACTTTAATGATAGTGTTGCAATATGCTTTCATGCTTGGATAAGAAAAGTTGGATTTGCTGCTTGTGCAGATGGTACCACTTGGGCAGTTACCAATGAAAAAGTTAGTTGCTATAGGACAAGCTGGCAATGGAAAACTGTGGAGGTGGAAAAGAAGCCATCACCAATGGCTCGTACAATTCAAATGGAAATGGCAGAAGCCATGGAGACTCTCAGAATGGATTAGGCACAGTGATGAAACAATAATAAGGTCAAGGCCTCGTCCACAAGCTCTCTTCCCACCAAGAGTCTCCGATAGTCCATGGTCACCAGATTATGTTGGCCATATAAATCTTTGACGTATAAGTATTTCCCAGCCCAAGTGTGCAGGGTGGAGCCTAGAAAAAGAGTGCAGGTAATCTTTTCTGCACTAGTATGATCATGTAGACACGGCTTCCAATCATGTGCTATTGGATGCCCTTACTACAATTCTTTTAATTAACATGATTTCAGTGGTTGAGAGGATAATTAGTTATCAGCTAAAAAATGAGAGCATTTTTCTGATCTGCAACTCTCTTGAGTTGGAATATTGAGAGCATTCCTTCAAAGAACAATTACCAATAGATCCATGAACTGTCAGAACATGAACTCAAATATGGCTGCTTTTCCAACTTGTGCACAAAAATTACTAGAGGGAATAAATAGTTTATGAGAATCATGACCTGCTTGGTTGAACCATATTTTGATCTGACTTAGCAAAACCCTGCTTGCCACACATGGATGAACCTTATATTATCATTTTCTTAGTTGATGCAGTGTGCTGGAAATGGCTGTTGGAACCTGCTTATGCCGTGCTGGTTTAGTTGATTTTGAAAACATCAAAACTATAGGTTTGTAATCTTCAAATTTTTTGCTGTGATTACTGCATTCGGAGCATCTTGTAAAGAGTGTTGATGCTGCTGATGGCGTGCCAAATACGTTGAACAGATAAGGCATGAGATGGTATCGGTGGTGATGCTTAGCAAAAGTATATGTATCTCGCTTGAGCTGTCTCTAAGGTTTTGGTGTATTTTTTTTTTTTTTTTCTTTCAGTCAATACACACTGAGGGAAGAAAAAAAAATGTTCCAAGTATAGAAATTTGTATGAAAGGTGCAGGGTCTAATTGTATTTTTCAGTCTATAGTTTTACCCCATTTGTAATCTCTTGGTTCACATGTTTCAGCGTGTGTAAGCTTGGTATTAATTTCGTTGAAAGATTGAACTGTGTAGTATTTTCATTTGTTATACAAGGAAAATTCTTTAGCTCTTTCTGTCTCTCCCGGGATGGTGGTTCGATAAGAAACCAAGTTGGCCTATTTTCAGATACCATAGACTCAAACACTGACCATGGGGCATAATTAACAAATATGTTGATAGGAAAACACAGAGGCATCACTTGTCAAACTTTGGCAAAATGAGACATGATACTCTGATTTGATACATCATTCTTCACTCGATCAAATTTTAACTCTAATATTGTTCTGTAACAGAAATTTTATCACTGGATGATGCAGTATTGCAACTCTTAGACCAAGAGAACAGATCTGCCTCATTTCGATTGATGCATGACTTTAAATCCTATATATCAGCATTAGATAATGACTTGCTACGTATTGTCAATGGTACACTGACTGCAGTTCCGTTGTGCCCATATCAACAATGCAGCATAAAAGTGATAGCAATTACGTGTCTCATGATCATGCACTGGAAAGAGATGTCTAGAGTGAGCAAATACCTTCCATGTACCAGCCCCTCACTATATTGCCACACCAGTATGCATAGTGCTCTTCTTTGCGAAGCTTACTAACAAGACCCCCACACTGTAAACAGATAAAGCTGCTTCCATCAGCGAATGCGTCTAATACAATTGCATTCTGCCTGTTTCAGCAAGTATAGATCCATGAGCATCTGATGCAACTGATGGAACACTAGTTGCATGTAATGATCCATCTTCTGACGGCTCGGCTTCATCTATTGCCCACTCAGCAAACAAAGAAACCAGCTGATCAACTGCAGTGTTTTCTTTCATTCTAGCTCTGTATACTTCACGAGCACGGCTCAACGACTGCAATACAGCTGAATCACCCACTCTAGTTCCAATGGCCATCACCACCTGTTCCATCAGATAAGCGGAGATTAAAGGGAAAAACAAGGTCAAACCTCCAAGTATCATGTCTGAATTAAGGAATTCTTATCCTTTCTGTCACTGTTTCCACAGTTCAAAGAAAATACTTCAAACTAAAGCATAACAAAAGATATGCCATCATATATCCTTTGCCCTCTACTCAGACAGTAAGAACTATTCACACCATAAAATGACTGAAGGATACATGAGTGTACGTCAAATCTGGAGACGACATACCTGGAAGAGAAGTTTTTTTTATCACGTGGCTCTAGAAGAGGAATAAATGTGAAAATCATTAGTTAGTTGAATTAAGTTAAGATCAAGGTGTGTGTATTGAGATGTATTATTGCTGGCGCTAACAAAGCAGGGTCTCCTGTGTCAACAACACCGTGAACAAATGCTATTTATTGATCCACCATGGCACGACAGGTATTACAACAAATACTGTTACCATCATGCATCTTCAAAGGCCTATAGCGACAATGTGGAACAATATAATTAACAATAGGAAATCAAGTTGATGAAGTATAATAGGCTATAGCTATATATTCAAAGAACAAATTCACAATTGTTATTCAAAAAGAGAGGTCCATTGATTATTAACCCAAATAGTTGTTGGATTGGAAAGTAAGAAAATGAAACTTCAAAGAAACGCCAGCATCGGAACTATCATATAGAAAAACAAAACAGCCAAGTCCCATACACTTAACAATAGAAAGGTTGAAAGAAGAAGATTTCAAAACCTTAGCTCTAGAAAGATAATATCATATGGAATTGCAGAGTGTACATCCCCTTTTCTTTTATTTTTTCAATCTGGGTTTCTATCTCCTCTCACAAAGACACACAGAATAAGAAAAAGGCCAAATTTATATTCTTGATTTCTTTATATTGCAAAGGTAAAACGCTTCACCTTTTATCTATTCTTAGTCGTTCATATTTGGGGTTCTCAAACTACATGCGAGGATCAAGCATTTGTTTTCAACCACCAAATTTCAATTTCTAGCATGCTTTTGAAACACCTCCTTTGGCCCTCACTCCTAACTAAACTAACCTCTTTACTGTTTAGATATATTCACAGTTACCCAATTCCTTTTTCATATATCTATGGCTATAAAGTGCTATAGATGTACCTTAAATTATTACCAGCACAAGAAAATACAAAGCTAAAGAACTACTCCATTGGCTTAATTTATAGTTGAAAAATAACAAAATTTCCCATTATAGTATTGCCCTAGAGGAATTTCAATATTCGAAGCAATTAAAAGCCAACAAATTTAAGATTGCGACATCTGAAGAAGCTAAAGAAACAGCTTCTTTTTTAACAAATACTAAAGAAACTCACGAAATATTAATAACCAGAAAACTAAACAAAGAACCATTCAAGAGGAAGAAAGGAAGCTGGAAAAGATTAAAAGAAATTGTAAAAGTTTTATGATAATTACCACTTGAAGAGCCTCGAGAAGGCTTGCCTTGATCGATGAGTTTACGAGCCATTGCGATCAGCTGCTTCCCGACATCATTGGACCCTTTGCTTCCGCGCGCGCCAGTGGCCTCGTTTCCATCATGTCGTCGTCCCTACGGTCCATGGCATATGGTACTTTGCTTTTCCGTTCTCCGTCGATAAAATGTATCCTTCGCTCCGATTATCAGTAAGGAGAATCGGCGTTTCGTTTTGCCTTTATTTTTTATTTTTGAAATAAAATTTGGTAGAGGATTCTAGCAAATTCTGGCGAGGTGGCACTTTCTTCCCTTCTTCTCCCCCACAAAACACTGATACCTGGACTGAGACTGCTCTTTTCAGCCAGCGTTGGGGCTTCTCCTATTGGGCCCATCCTTCTTTGGTCTTCAAGAGCTTCTGGGCCTATTTTGTGAGCATGGTGGAGTTAGCTTTCTCTATCTATTAATTTGAAGGAAATTATAGCTAAAAAATTTACAAAAATTACTTAGGAGGTTTTGTTATTTGGACCTGGTGGAAATCTACTCTTTCTTTACCAGAATTGGATCTCTCCCATGCCATGTTTAGTTGCTTATTATATAATAGAGTGGTGCGAAAACGCATGGACGCGGCAGAGGCAGTGAGATGTGTGCATACTAGAACTAACTAGACTGGAGCTGGTGAGCTACCAGTTCTAGCATTTGATTGAAATTTTCGTCATTAGGCATTAACATCACCTGCAACTGGCGTGATAAGCATTTTGTATATTGGATCGGTTTTGGAGGCGGAAAATGTGCGCATGTCATGTAGGGGCCAAGAATACAGAATCAACAAACGTAAAATAATGTCAGAAAAGAAAAGCAGCGATTTGCTTTTGTTATCATATTCGTGCAGTATAAATAAATAAATATTTCCTTTTCCTCTATGCATATTACTCAATCTATTAAATATCCGTAACAACATAAAATTAAGACATCCCAGAATGTGGGTCCAATTCACCATCCTCCATTAATACAGCTTCTTTAATCTCCTGTAACATCTTCAATACTTGCCACATCGTGGGCCGTTGTTCCGGGGAGCTCGTACTACAAGTAATGGCCACTTCAAGCACCTAGCCTCATCAGCCCCCCGCCTCTCCCCTAACAGCCCTAGCCAAGCTGCATCATCTCCTCTGCGCCCAACAGCGTGCCTTCCGCGAGAGCTTTCTAAGTCAGCAAAACCCCGAATGCTAAACATCGGATTTTGATGTTGCCTCGTGGTTTGAATTGCGACTCTTGGAGGTTTGCATGCCATGGAATCGTCTTCATCGGGTGCGAAGTCAGACAAGGGCTGCCAGGCAGTAGTACGGAGATACAGGCCTCGAAGTATAAGGAAGAGACAGTTGGAGGACTTGAGATTTGCATGGGACGAGCCTCCATGCTTGGATGTAGGAGAGCCCTGCTGTCCTCCCGCTATTTTCAAGCACGAGTCCAGTGGAGTGGCTTAGCCCTTGGTGATTCGATCCTGGGACAGAATTAGGACTCAATTCGATTCCATGAATTCATACTTATTACGTTGTCCAGCTACCTACATGCCAAGCATGGTTATGGACCGTCTACCTACACTCTGACGATGTAAGTGGAGTGTGCATTGGGTTCCACAAAAATGTAAACGTGGGACCCATTAACATCATCAGAATCCAATCCGAATCCGACGACCATGTTCCACCGCTGCACTTGAGATTAGGATCGCACGCCGGAAAAATCAATCCATCAGAAAAAGTGCTTTACTACTATTATATTAAGAACTAATTAATTAAAAAAAATGGAAATCATATCAATTCCCCATGCACTCAACAGCTAGATTGTCGGCGTTGGCAGAAAACTTAGACACCTACAAATCTAGTCACTCCAATCTTACAACTCAACCCGGGAGCTGATCAGGCCAGGGGATTAGATCGTATGCTTACAAAACCTGACTAAGATTAAGCAGCCGATATACAACAACCATCTTGTGAACAACTAGTACACGTGCCATTCCCTAATTGGGTCCTTCCAATTCATAATCACGAAGCAACCCGAGTCACACCGAGTGCACTCCTCAACTCACTAACAGCCCACAGAAAAAAGAATGAAAGGAAGCTTACCGTGAATGAGGGAGAGGAGACTGCCGTTGGGCTGATAATCATAGACAAGAAGCCTCTCTTCTTTGGCCTGGAAATAAGCCCTCAGAGGCACCAAATTGGGGTGCCTTAGACCACCAACCGATTCCATGTGCTGCTCAAACGTTTCCTTCGTTGTGCTTGCTAATTTCCCAGCATCAAGCCTCTTGACCGTCACGATCAGACGATTATCAAGCACTGCCTTGTACGTGGTCCCTATGGTTCCCCTCCCAAGCAACTCAGCTGAGGCTCTCATCAGCTGGTCTAGCGTATACAACTGCGCTTCACCCGCACAGAATATCAAGTTCCCACTCTTGGCAACTTGCATTCCTTGCACTCTCTTCACTTTCTCTTCTAACTCAGTCTCTTGCTCCATTTGAATCACCGCTGCAACTTGTGCTGTGGTCGCCCCATCGTCAGATTCGATCACAGCCGTTGATTGCTTTTTATCTTTCTCTTTCCTTACCGCCATGACGAAGCAAAGAAGTGAACCAATGAGAACAAAGACCCCAGCAGAAAACCCTATGATAACCGCAGTTCTCTTGTGCTTATTAGCACTTGGTTGAGCCAACTCCACGCCATGCACTTCTACACTTTGACCAAGAACAGCCGCAGGCGGCGGCGCCACCACGGCAGCCGTGGGACCAAAAAAGTGGGGCCTTGGATGACATTCTTTGTGAATAATCTCCCCGCAAAGACCAGGGTTCCATGAAAAAGAAGAGAAACCAAACCGTAGCAACGCCTGGGTCACTGGAATTGCACCAGTGAGATTGTTCCCGGAAATGCTGAAGGTTTTAAGAGAAGACTGATTCAATGGAGGAACCGTTCCGTTGAACCGATTCCAGTCCAACCGGAGATAGTATAACCGGTCTAGAGAAGCTAACGAGCTTGGTATGGGGCCAGTGATATTATTGTAGGACAAATCAAGGGTTCTTATCCTGTGAAGGGAAAGGATTGAAGGAGGGAAAGAACCAGTGAAGAAGTTATGATCAAGGAAGAGGCTTTTGAGGTTGATGAGCCCTGAGAGATCAGGAATTGGACCGGCGAGGGAGTTGTTTTGGAGACTCAAGACTCGGAGCTGGTCAAGGTGGGACAATGTGTTGGGAGCGAAAATGCCACCAAGATCTAGATGTTCTAAAATGAGACGTACCACTTTTTGCTCGTAACATGTGACTCCTTGCCAATCACAAAAGTGAAAGCTTGCATTCTGAGAGAATCTAAGGTTGTTTCTCAAATCTGCTTTAGATTGAAAACCCAGAAGAGCGGTAGCATCGGGTGATGGCAATAGCGTTGCAGATTCTGGAGAAGCAATTATGCTACATAATATGAACAAAATGAAGAACCTTTGAAGAAGGGGTTGTCTTCTCTTCAGCATTGCGTGGGAAACTTCTCAGCTCTCACTCTGACTCTTATCTCCTTTTTTTTTTTTTCCCTTGTATCTGTTTTTCCAAAAGCAATAAGCTTGTTGAGTAGTCTGTCCCACTCCACTTGATAGGGCAAAGTGTTTCGTAGAGAGAGAGGACTGAGATGGCGATAGGAGCAAGCGGTACGTGACAAAGCATGAAATAAGCTAATAGCTAGGGAAGCAGCTGTCGGGGTACCAGTCAGAATCACGTGAATGCAAGGACAGAGATATGGGCAAAAAAACCTAGCCTCTATTTCCCTATTGTAATGTATTTCTGTAGTGTACGGTATAATACAGTCTGCCTTTATACCAACCCAAGCAGCCCGCAGAGCCCTTTCTTTTCTTTACCCATTCTTGCTTTTTTCATGTAATTTTTTATCTTTTTCTTTCTTGGGGACGAGAAATAAATTTTAAAACGCCTGTCATTGTGAATTGGGTAAACTTTTTGAGCTATGACAGTGTCAAGCTGCCACGTGAATGCACAGTTGGTCGAGTTTGAAGAACGAAAAAGGGCAGGCATTGGTAAACGTGCGGTCGTCATCTTTGGGTTTTCATGGCTATGGTTACGCTTTCCCGTTCTTAATCGAACCTTGACCTAAATGGATTGCATCTTAATGACGAAAGGTACCTTTTACCGATTGCTGATGCCACGTCCTATTCAAGTTACTACATGTCCTCAGATCACAAAGGTACGGCTAACCATTTCTGGTTATGACATACTTTCGAGTTTTACTCTACCTTCAATATTCGAGACCTGTTTTGGGTTCATGACTGAGTCTAAAAAATCAAATTCCTCAACATTTATCAATCTTAAATTAATGATTCAACTTGAGCAGACATACTTTGACGTCTAATCCACTCAAACCCTAAGCTCATGTCAGTTATGCGCCACATAAATTTGTTTTAATAAACAATAAAAAAATGTTATGAAAATGCTAAATCATAATTAACATCAAGGCGTGGGACAACAACCACTGGAAAGTTAAGGCCTTTTAGTGGAACGTGCATGCATAGCCCAAATAAATGGCTGGAAAAGGGCCCCAGCCCATGTTTCCTCTCGTACGGTTCCTACTTACGCACTCTAATGTTCCAATTATAAAAGGAAATCGATTCTTTAAAATGCCCGAAAATGGTTTAGCTCGCCTCTTTGTCTGATTATTGGGTGCTGTAGGTAGGATATGCGTACAAATTGTGAGATTCGACGCTTCTTTTATATTTGTTCAAGTTCCATCCATCCAAGGCACATGACTTGTCGACATCGACAAAACAAAATGACCCATCCCTTAAAATCACCTTCGAAGGACGCCCGTCGATCTCCTTTCAAGCATCAGCGGCCACCAGCTGCCTGGCCTACTTGTATAATGTCAACTACTCTTGCTGGTTCACTATTACTTCAGAGTACACACAGTCGATCATCTTCATCCTTGTCGTGATCAAAAATATTCACACACAAGGTCATCAAGGTAAAAAAACCTTCAACCTGATAAATGTAAACCGAAGGAGAATGATCAGAGTGTGAGACACATACATACTTGCCCCATTCATGTCAGCTTATTGTGGCAATCGCGATTCAACTTGTTCCTACAGAATTTCAAAGCGTTATTTCCCATCTACACTCCTATATGACTCATAATTAACCTCATCCTAGTTAACAACTTAAAGCCCCAATTAGTTTGGAAATTATATGGCCGCCAAATCCTATGTATTCGAATCTGTGGGGAATTCTATCATTCTATGGGCTGGCTGCCTCCAAGTACGACTTATGATCCAGCTAAGTAGGGCTCCATTAATAAATGCAATTATTTGCAAAGAAGGAAACAATCTAAGAAACCAACACAAGGTCACAATCTGCAGTGGCACGATGCAATTGCAAAAGCAAATGCTTATCCAAAAGCGTAGTTCTATGACTGTTTCGTCAAATTTAAGTTTAGATAGCTAACTAGACAACCGATTTGGGTAGCTCTTTAAATTCGTCCAATATTTATTCCAGCAATCCAACTACAGCCTGTGAGACGAATGGAATTAATATATGGTCCTTACCCTATGAATAATAGCTTCTGTAGTCGTGTCCAAAATCAGATGAGGCAAAAAAACAAAAGCTTCTGTCTTTTAATGCAAAAAAAATGGCGGGTGCATGGAATATCTCAAATGTCAATTAAACATAAGAAAAGACAAAATGCTAGGCTTAAAGTTAATGCTGCATAAATGTAAAGAAATCAGAAGGTGGGGTAACGTTTGCTGAGGAGGATGGTCGGTCAAACAAATGAGTCATGAGTCATGAATGGCCAGGGCCCAAGTCAAGTGTTTTACCAGCTTCGATACATTAGGATCTGTGTCCAGCCCAAATGAACAAAGGAATTTGAACTGAGTTGTCAAGATTTTTGGGTCAAAAATGGGCTGTCAAGATTGCTCGGTGTATTGTAAAGATATCCGGGAAAGAATGGCCATGCTGAAGAGTGACAGAAGCTTTGACTCGAAGATTTTCATATCGTGATTCTGTCATAGTGCATGATGCAAGATTCACTGGGAAGGCAAACCACGTGGTAGCATAAGGAAGACGAAGATTCCTCTATAGTCAAAACTCTCAATATAAACGCAACAATGTTACTCCTTCTAATTCACATTTCTGTTGAAGACAAAATCACCAAAATAATATTTATTCTTCTTATTACTCAATCTGATCTGACCATGTCAAGTATATTGTTAGCATCCATTTTTAAGCATGGACTCTAATCTAAAATGGTGACTTTGCCTCTTTGGGCAATCGACTAGGAACCAACATAGCATTTCCAGACGGCTATAGCTTCAGAAGTTTTGGCACCCAGGGCCCAGCCTATACACGCTGGCCAGTGGTCACCCACTCCTGGGTTCAAGCCGCCACGTCTGTCTATTTGAGAACCACAAGACTATGGAAACATCAATGATGGATTCTTTTTCTTTTAATATAATCCTGTTAATTCTGAATTGAGATTGGACTGCTCGTAGATGATGGCTCAAGCTTCCTTAGATGATTGTGCTCTTTCACCACCACGTGGCCCATCTACATGATCTGAATAAAACAATTATTACGTAAAAATAAAATAAAATAAAAATATAATATAATAATTATTACGTAAATCGATACAATAAATAAAATAAAATAAAAATAATTATTATGATTTATTACAATATTTAATTAATAATAATAATTTTAAAATAAAAAATAAAAAAATTAAATTACTTTTTATTATATATATTATTATTTTATTTATTTTATTTTTAAATATTAATATTTTATTTATATTTTAATTATTAATATTAAAATAATAATATTTAATTTATAATTTAAATACTACTATGATTATTTTTTTATTTTATTTTTAAAATATTAATAATTTATATTTTATTTATAATATAAATAATCTATCATTTAAATATTAGTATTTTATTATAAATTAATTATTATTTTTTAAAATATTAATATTTATTTATAATTTAAATTTTATTATGATTATTTATTTTTATTTAATTTAATTTTTTTAATATTAATAATTTATATTTTTAAATATTAATAATTGATTATTTAAGTATTAATATGTTATTTATAATTTAATCATTAATATTATAAAATACTACTATTTTATTTATAATTTAAATGTTATTATGATTTTTTATTTTTATTTTATTTTTTAAATATTAATAATTTATAATTGATTTAAAATATTAATAATTGGTAATTTAATTTATAATTTAAATATTATTGTGATTAAAATATTAATATTTTAAATTAATTTTTAAATTCAAAATATTTTATAATATATAATTAATAACTTAGCCTTTGTATTATAACAAGATTTATTTTTTCGCTATTTGCATTTTTCATTTTTTAATTTAAATTTCACTTAACAATTTAAAAATTAATATTTTAAAATATTAATTTTAGTTATAATTTAAATCTATTATAATTAAAATATGAAAATATTAATTTTTTTAATTTTAATTTAAAATATTAATTTTATAAGTTTAAGTTTATAATTTTTAAAAATAAATAAAGACATTTTAATCCAAAATGTTTAAATTTTATTCCCATGGGTGTGGAATAGCTAATACCATCGGGGAAGGTGGTATTAGCTATTCCAAATTTTTGTCAAATTTTAAAAAATACCCTTTCATTTTGAAATGGCTATTCCTTCCCCAAAAGTGAACCAGGGAACCAAAAGGAAGGGATAAAATTTTGTAAAGAATAGAGGGTCATTCCCTCGACCAAACATGACCTTATTGCATGTTTGGTGTAGGGAATAGTCTCTATTCCCATGTGATATTTTCTCCCATATTTGATTGGAAATTGGATCAAGGAATAGCTATTCTTTAAAATCAGTTAAAAGTTATGTTTGACTAAATTCACCATTTTCCTTAATATTAACTATTCCATTGTTGATGGAATAGCTTCAAAACATGTTAAGACTAAATTACCCTTCATAAATTTAGAAATTTACAATCCTCCCTATATTAATATTTGTAAATAAAATATTAATATATAAAAATATTAATAATTAAATTATAAATAAAATATTAATATTTAAATTATTACTTATTCATATTTTAAATATATTATAAAGTGGTACTATTTAAAAAATAAAATATAAATAAATAATCAGACTAACATTTAAATAATCAATAAAATATTAGTATTTTATAAAATTATTAAATTATTAATAAAATATTAATATTTAAATGATCTATTATTAATATTTTAAATAAATTATTCCCATTTAAACAATAAAATAAAATAAAAATAAATAATCATAATAAAATTTTAATTATAAATAAAATATTAGTGTTTAAAAAATTAATGATTAAATTATAAATAAAATATGAATACTTTATAAACATATAAATTATAAATAAAATATTAATATTTAAATGATGAATTATTAATATTATAAATAAATAATCAATTATTAATATATAAAAATAAAATAAAATATTTGATCATAATAATATTTAAATTAAATTAAATATTAATATTTAAATGATCAATTATTAATATTTTAAATGCATTATCAGTTATGAATATTTAAAAAATAAAATATTTATAGTTGTATTTTAAATTATTAATATTCAAAAAATAAAATAAAAATATAAA